AGCCAGAGCTGTCCAACCATCACTTTGGGATCAGTCTTTCTCTACCTCCACAGGGCGTTACTCACCAACAGTGGTATCTCTTCAATGACTTCCTTATTGAACCTATTGATAAGGTTAGTTGCAACACATTTCATTCCCCCTTCCATCTCCCATTTTTCTAGCATCTTCACCCTCAGGACCCTAGGGAATTCCAGGCAGATTCAGGAGGGAAAGATATGTCTGCCAATAAAGCATTAGCAGAGCTAAAAATAGTACTTGAGTCCTGTCCTGTGTCTGATTTGGGAAAAGAAAAAAGGGCTATATATATAAGCCATAACTGCTTTTTCTCTTCTATAGCATGAAGCTGTGCAGTTTGACATGAATTGGAAAGTACCTGCTATCCTTTATTATGTCAAAAGGAATCTCAATTCCAAATACAACCTGAACAGTAAGTGGTACAGAGTAGGCCCAAGGGTGTGGGCAGTTTAGAATGGTCTTTGGGAAGAGATCTGTGAAATACTTTGTTAGGTTTAGGATTAGTAACCAGTATTATTATCTCCCCAGATATTAGAGATTAAAGAGATTCTAAAAAAACGTAAACTAAGGCAATTCCTATTTATTAGGCCTTAACTTTAGAAGCTGGAGATCCTGAGGGCAAAGTGGGAAAAGCAGGAGGGAGGATAACAAGGAAATGGAACAGCTCATTGAAGTCTGGTCAGAATGGCTAAGTTTATGACTTCACGTATCATCATTACAAGCTTTCTTATCACTGAGTGAAGATTTCTTTTTTTGGAGATGAACTCATTATTAAGTCCCTTTTTGGTACCTTCAGACCATAAACTTTTTGTAAACTTTAAAACATAAAAGTTTCTCTGTAAACTTTTTTTTCCTGGATTTTCTAAGCTAAGGCCCAATGTGAAAATTTTACTCTTTCCATCTCTGTTTTTTTCTTAGCCAGTTTCTTGATACTATTCTGATTTCATTTGTCTGCCTGCTCCATTCATTATACATCATCTTGTTATTCACATGCTTTGATTATTGAAAGATCACAGTACAGACCCAGAGTCTCTGGCCAGTCAGCCTGGGATTCCCTCCCCTGGTTGCTTCCCATTCTCCAGGCAACTGTCCTCTGCCTTTTCTCTTTTAGTCAAGAACCCTATTGAGGCAAATGTCCTCTTGGCTGAAGCCTCATTAGCACGGAAACAGCGGAAAACACATACTACCTTCATTCCACTGATGCTGAATGAGATGCCACAGGTTGGGGATCTGGTGGGCCTGGATGCTGAGTTTGTCACTCTTAATGAGGTAACCAAGACCAGAACGATGGGGCGCTGGAGCAGAACTTGGAGGAGTTGCAGGCATTCCTTTGATTTCCTTATTAACTCTTCTCACGTAGGAGGAAGCAGAGTTGCGCAGTGATGGCACCAAGTCTACCATTAAACCAAGCCAGATGTCAGTAGCAAGGATTACTTGTGTTCGAGGCCAGGGACCCAATGAGGGTATCCCCTTTATTGATGACTACATCTCTACACAGGAGCAGGTATTAGGGCATGGGGTACATGTGAGGCAGACCCTGTGCTTTTACAGAATGGTCTGGAACCCAGGGGAAGATTGTGGTAGGGGGAGATTCTGCACCTCACTTCCTGGGTTACTTGTTCTTTTCTTTATTCTTAGGTGGTAGATTACTTGACTCAATACTCAGGGATAAAGCCAGGAGACCTTGATGCCAAGATCTCCTCCAAGCATCTCACGACTCTCAAGTCTACCTACTTAAAGCTCCGTTTTCTGATAGATATTGGAGTCAAGTTTGTGGGTCATGGTCTACAGAAGGACTTCCGGGTCATCAACCTCATGGTTCGGGCAGAGCTCTTTTAAGAGTCTTTGAGACTGGGCCCCTCAGGGTGTAGAATTGTGCTTTTGGAGAATGGCAAGTTATAGATCCCCTACCCTCAGCCTCTCTTTTGTCTTTGCCAGGTGCCCAAGGACCAAGTCCTTGACACTGTTTACTTGTTCCATATGCCCCGAAAACGAATGATTTCCCTGCGATTTCTTGCTTGGTACTTTCTGGGTAAGTTATACTTGTAAGGCCTCCATGATGCTTATAAAGAGCAGGAAAACATGTTGGAGGGTCAAGGTGGAGAGGGGAATATCCTGAGTTAATGGTGAAAGTTATTGTGCAAAAATGTTGGACGCTTTCCCTTAAAGGCAGCCAGGTTTCTTGTTGTTTTCTGGGAGGCAGGAGTAGGGATCTTCCTTAGGTAGGTCCCAAATTCTTTTACCTCTATTTCCACTAGACCTGAAGATTCAAGGGGAGACCCATGACAGTATTGAGGATGCCCGCACAGCCCTTCAGCTCTACCGGAAGTATCTGGAGCTAAGCAAGAACGGCACTGAGCCTGAGTCCTTCCACAAAGTGCTCAAGGGTCTTTATGAGAAGGGCCGAAAGATGGACTGGAAAGTGCCCGAGCCTGAAGGCCAGACAAGTCCCAAGAGTAAGCACTGGGATGGGACAGGGGTAACTGAACTGGGTAGGTTTAATTTGTATGTGGGGATTATACCCACCACAATGATGATGATGCTGATGCTGATACGATGATTCATACCTTTTATCTGTAAAGCATTTAACAGTTTACAAACTACTCAATCCTTCCAACAATCAGTGAAACAGATTTTATTATTGAAATTCTTCATAGGTCTTACAACCTCCTCTTAACCCAGTTCTAAAATGTTTGAAGCCAGGTCCATATCCTCTTTTCTTTGCATTTTGCTGTGTAAGAAACATCCCAGGTGGTTTCTCTTTACATACCTTAAGGGTTGTGCTTCTGGTTTTGTCTCTGACAGATGCAGCTGTCTTCTCCTCAGTGCTGGCACTATGACCCACCTTCTCTCAACAAATCGTTCCTCTCCCTCCAGTGCTCTGTGGCCCCAGAACTGGGACATGGTTTCCCAGGTTGGCTGTACTCTGTCCACTTCCAGATCTGGACCTGATCAGGGTCTACAGTTGGTGCTATAAAAAGAAATGAAATGCAACAGAATCATTGCAGAGGATCTAGAAGCCAGATTCCGTCTTCATCCTTTGTAAAATAGTGGATTAGAAACAGTCTAGAACTGACCCAGATGGAAAGTGATGGGTATTCTTAATAAATATCCTGGGTAATTATGCAGATTAAGAAGATCCTGAAACCAAAACTTTTGGTTCCCAGCCAGCTGGGAACCAAAGTCCTGGACATGACAGAGGATGTAGCTCAGGAATTAGCTCAAATCTCTGACTGGTTGAAGGGTGTCTGAAGGAGCCAGCATGTAGTGTCTTGGTGGCTCAGGCAAACTAGTGTTGCCAATAGCAGCATTGCCAAAAGGGCCTTTGGGTCTTGGACAAAGCTTGGCTGTTGGCTTCCTGCTGACAGCTGAGAAGCATCTGTCTTCCATCCACACTCTTGTCCTAAGTTTTGTTTTCTTATAAATTTTTAAAATTTGTTTTAAACTGCATGTTTTATAAAATTAAAAAAAAAATTAATTGGCTATCATTTATTCCATTAGAGAAGTGTGAATGTGTGGTTCACTGACCAGCCCTTCCTTTATTCTTTGTGTTGGCTTCTTCTAAAAACGAAGGTTTTTAAAATTCCAACCTAAAAATGAAAGTAAAGCTCTGGAATACAAACTTATGCATACTAGAGAAAAGTAATTCTTTCTTTCCTGCATAATGTGAGGTCTCTGCTGTAGCCAAGGTTGGTTTCCTAGCTTTAAAAAGCAGTCGAAAAGTTGACAAACTACAGGTCCCAGAGTATCTTAAAACCTGTACATACTGAAAAAAGATTTGTATGAACTGCGGTGCTTCCTGGGAGATGGAGTTCTCTGTACATTAAAACCTGGGTTTCTCACCCGTTAGCAGCTCACCTTTCCTGTTGAACGTTCTACTCCACCTAGCTTGACACACACTTCCGCCTGAAGGCCCCCATACACCACACACCAGGCACCGGCTCTGCCCTAGTTCGAGGACACTCCTATTCTCCCGCTGACCCTCTCATGGTCACGTGGATCTCCCCGCCACGCAAGTCTGGGTCCTTCTACGAGCGGCTGGGGTCCTCTCTCCCTTAAGCCGCTCCTACGCTGCCTGTTCGCGCGAGAATTTGGAGAGCTGGGTTTCGGATCAGCCTGGCGTGGAGCTCTCACGGTAGTGCACCAGAGCCCTGCTTAAGCGCACAGTGTGCTGAGAGGCAGGTCAGGCAGCTGCTGGGGCACTCTGTGTCTGGAAGGCACCTTAGCACTCTGGAGAAGCCTGGACAGCCCTGATCCCCGCCCCCCGCAGCAAGGTGCTAGAATCGGGCCGGGGAAGCTACAGTGGGTGTCCCGCAGTCTTCCAGCGCCTGGGCCACGGCAGCAGCAGCCCTGGGAGCAGAGGTGAGGCATAGACGGGTGGCGAAGGCACCGAAGTTGGGCGTGAAGGCAATGGCAAAGTCCTTAGAAAGTGGGCTAAGTCTGCACGGGAGATAACTTACAGGCTGCAGGAGGGAGATAACTTACAGGCTGCAGGAGGGCGATGCAGTATTCTTCAGTGCTGGATCCAAATGGGCCCTAGTTGCTGAGTGCGCGCCTCACCGGCCGGTCACCTCACCCTCTCACCGGGACCTTCTTTGACTGAACGCTTCTCGCCTGCAGTTGCTCTGTGCTTGGCATCCTCGCTTAATCGTCAGTTTGCATCCTGCCCCTGCTACATAGCCCTGTGAGCCCTAGACACCTGAGGTTAAAGTACCAACATCTAGGACCTCACCTATCGACGTAGTTTCGCAGCCTGAGTGTCATATCCCGAACTCATGTTCCTACTCACCGTCCTGGGGAAAGGAGGCCCCGAAACACAGCACCCATAGGAGCCTCTTTGTGTTCGGACCATTTCCTGGAATGTAGAGCTGGTTTCACATGGAGGCCTTTTAAGGCTTTGAGATTGGGGTGGGAAGAAGATGGGGAAAAAATGGAGTTGAGTCTTCCCACCATCTATGCTTTTTTCCACCCAAACCCAGGTGGAGCGACCCCTTTATGCTGAAGATGAAAAGCTGGGGTTGGCTGGCCCTGCTTCTGGGGGCCCTGCTGGGAACTGCCTGGGCTCGGAGGAGCCAGGATCTACACTGTGGAGGTAAAGGCAAACGAGAAGAAGTGAGAGGAAGGATGGTGAGGAAGAAAGAGCTTTGGGAGGACATGAGATCCAAGCAATGGTGGGAGAAGGATAAGAATTCCAGAGTTGATTCCAGCCCCACCTCTCTTTTCTTTACTTTTCCCCATTCTCTCCTCTTACACCAGCTTGCAGGGCTCTGGTGGATGAACTCGAGTGGGAAATTGCCCAGGTGGATCCCAAGAAGACCATTCAGATGGGATCTTTCCGGATCAATCCAGATGGCAGCCAGTCAGTGGTAGAGGTAACTGTTACTGTTCCCCCAAATAAAGTAGCTCACCTTGGCTTTGAAAAGACTTTGATTTAATAGAAATGCATGAAACATTGACCTAGAAAGGTATCTAAAAGATTAGGCTCTGTTTCATTTGGAAGAGGTTGGAGGCCCATTGCTATTGCACTTGTTTCCTGGCTCCAAATCTTAATACTTTTGTTTCTGTTACAGAAATTATTAACAGCTCTAATCAGTCCCCTTCTCCATGTACTTACTCCACATGACTTATGTCTTTGCTATGGCAATATTATACTTACAGTCATTCAAAAAATAAATAGAGACTTCCGGTAAGAGGAAGGAATAGGCAGACAAGCGACACAGACCCTCTTCAACAAAGAAAAGAAAAACCAATTGACAGAGACACAGAAGATAATCCTGGAGCCTGAGCTTTGAAAGGAACTATACAGAAGTGGATTAGGCACCAACTAGTGGAAAAACCTGAACGATAACAGTGAGTACAGAAACGGCCAGAGCTGTGGACTGTCAGCTACTCTGATGGGACCAACAGCCTGAATATTTCCAAGTGGTATTGAGACCTGAGAATTGACCTAGGTATCAGCTGTGGTCACCAAGGGCTGCAGGGATGACTGTGCTGGTGGCCTATGACTAGGAAGGGAAATAGCAAGGAGGGAGACAACCTGAGCTGTTGACTTTCCGCTGTCTGGAGGGCCCAGCCATTTTGATTGTTTACAAGCTGCAGCCATTCTGGATATTTAAAGTGACCGAGGGCGCAGCCATTTTGAATGTTTATAAGCGGCAGCCACTTTGGATATTTAAAGTGACCAAGGGTGCAGCCATTTTAAATGTTTACAAGCGGTGGCCACTTTGGATAAAGTAACCGAGGGTGCAGCCATTTTGAATCTTTACAAGTGGCAGCCATTTGGGATTTTAAAGTGACAGTATTCTCATTCGGATTCCAGGCACCTAAGAATAGGCTCTGTTTGCCAAGGTCAGCAGGGACATATGAGAGGCTGACAACAGGAAAGGAAACAGGTGGTGAGTGTGTAAGTGCTGTCAACTAGTGAATAGAGGAGCACAGTGCCCTGCTTGCATAGATAACATACAAACAAAACAAAGAAAATGAAAATCATGGACAAGTCACTCCAACATACAATCACCAATTAAATATAAATATAAAAACGTTACAATGCCTCGGAGAAAACAGAGCATCACAGTCCACACAAAGAAGCAAAATAAAGCAGGAGAAACAAGGGACCAGGATACAGACCCAAAACACAACCCTGAGGAAGACGCAGCATTGGAACTCCCTGATAAATAATTGAAAAGAATTATATTTAGGTATCTTCAGCGAATTGAGAGACAGATAAAGGAAAACACAGAAAAAACTCTAGAAAAATTCTGAAAAGACAATACAAGAACAAAATGACAAAATAAATGAAAAATTAGAAATAATGCAAAATAATTTCAGATAGAAATCCAGAAAATTAATACTAAATTTTCAGAAATAGATAAGACATTGAATAGGCAAAGGAGCAGAATTGAATCAGTGAAAGACAGAATTAGGGAGATTGAAGGCAAATACCTGAACATTTCTTTGGAAAGGGATAACTCAGAAAAAAGATCAAAACCAAATGAAGAAAGCCTGAGGTTCATGTGGGATACCATCAAAAGGAATAACCTACATGTAATTGGAATTCCAGAACAGGAAGAGACAAATAAAACCACAGAGAAAATTATTGAAGATTTGTTGGAAGAGAATTTTCCTGGTATGATTAAAGATGAAAATACATCCATTCAGGAAGTCCAACGAACCCCAAACAGGGTAGACCCCAAAAGAAAATCATGAAGACATAGCATCATCAAACTCACGAAAACCAAAGGCAAAGAAAGAATCATGAGAGCAGCACGGGAAAAACGAAGTTACCTACAAGGGGCAACCAGTAAGACTAAGCTCAGATTTCTTGATAGAAACCACCATGCAGGTGAGAAGACAATGGGGTGGTATACATAAAACCCCGAAACAGAAAAATTTCCAACCAAGAATTATGTACCCAGCAAAATTGTCCCTCAAATATGATGGTGAAATTAGGACATTTCCAGATAAGCAGAAATTAAGGGAATTTGTTAAAACCAGACCAACCTTACAAGAGATGCTAAAGGGAGCCCTTTGGACAGAGAAGCAACAGCAAACAACAGCTGACCATTAACATATATGATGATATAACCCAGAAACCAACCCAGCTATGGAAGTATCCAGAGTAAAGAAGCTTACAAGATTGTAAACATGGAACCAGAGGCATTAGTTGACAAATGAGGACAACTACAAACCAAAAAGAGGGAAAAAACTGTTCTTAACAGAATTTCTAGATGGTAGGGAAGTCAAGACAACTACAGGATAGAATGGACTGTTCTAAACTTGGGAAGAAAACTATAAATCACAGGGTAGCCATGAAGAAAAATGATAAACTTTCACATCAAAAAAGAGAACCAGCATAAATACTCAGCAAATACTAAAACAATAGCAATGCAGGAAGTGATAACACGATTCATAAACAAAATGAGCTCAGCACAGAAAATTATATGGAAGAAATCGACACCACAAAAAAGCACATTAACAAAAATGACAGCAATAAATTCGTATTTGCTGATAATTACATATCTGGCAAGGGACTTATCTCTAAGATTTATAGCGGAAGAGTAGATGACCAAACTATGGTACATACACATAGTGGAATGCTGGGCAGCACTGAAGAATAATGTAGAGTCTGCAAAACACTGCATAATATGGATGAACTTGGAGGACATTATGCTGAGTGAAATAAGTCAATCACAGATGGACAAATACAGTATTAGTTTGTTGGTGTGGAGGGTTAAGGAAAGGTTTATATATGGAGGGAAACTTTCTTTGTTGGTTGCCAGGGATGGGAGATGAGGGAACACTGCAAAAAAAAAAAAAGCATTGACTCATGTCAACTTTAGTTTTGTGTATTTCACTGCACATAAATTATATTTCAATAAAATGCATTTAAAATAAATAAATAGAAGGTCTAATGCTTGCAATTAGGAAATTTAGTGTGTAATACAACACACATACATACACAAAGCTGTACTTGGTGAGCAATATATAAAGGTTGTGAAATGCTTTGATAGTTTTAGCCTCAGAGCCTACACTACCTCTAATGGTCTCTTACCGAGGGCAGGTATTAGTCTTATCTTAACACAAAGAAATACATTACTTAACATCTGTAAGTGCTAAAGGGATTCAAAGGAAAATAACACATAGTTGACTAGAATTAATCAAAGAGATTTTGTTGATCTATAATTTGGAGCTAATGATACTTTTTTTCTTAGTATCATATGAGGTAAAATAGGATCATATATATAAAAGTACTTTGAAATTATATAAATAAACTATACTGTTTTTAATTAAGGAAGGCTTTTTAGAGTAGGTTGGTTAAGCTAGATTTGGAAAGAAAGTAAGTACATAAATTACTAATGTATCAACGTAGATGATAGTGACCCAAGACTGAGGACATTTCTAGGTGCCTTATGCCCGCTCAGAGGCCCACCTCACAGAGCTGCTAGAAGAGGTGTGTGACCGAATGAAGGAATATGGGGAACAGATTGACCCTTCCACCCACCGCAAGAACTATGTACGTGTAGTAGGCCGGAGTGGAGAATCCAGTGAGCTGGATCTACAGGGCATCCGAATTGATTCAGACATCAGTGGCACCCTCAAGTTTGCGGTAAGCTGTGGAAATGGGTAGCTGGTTTTTAGGAGTTGGGAGTTGTTGGTGGGCCTAAGTAGAAAGTTGGGTTAATGTTCTTGTTGTCTTGTCTGGAGGCAGAGGCAAGAGGTCTCTTCCTGCTGTCCTGTCTCACCCATTTCTCTCTTGGATTGGCAGTGTGAGAGCATCGTGGAGGAATATGAGGATGAGCTTATTGAATTCTTTTCCCGAGAGGCTGACAATGTTAAAGACAAACTTTGTAGTAAGCGAACAGGTGAGCTAACCCCACTTTACCTCCTGTATTCACCAGCCCTCTAGAACCTGGCACATTCCTATGTCCCCCCAGAAACCCTGTGATGTTAGCCCAAGAGTTGGCTTCTGTTTCCTCTGGCTTGAGGACTTAGGTTGTTCCTCTCTCTTCTCCTCCTGTCAGCTTTCAGAATTTGTGGCCCCTGACCTAATATATAAATGAGAGCTGTGATGGGGATGTTATGTCATTTACAAACATATGCTCTGAAGAAATGGTGGTTGGTGTGCCAGGTGGTCTGGGGTATTTTCTTGATAGTGGCATATATTAGAGTGGCATTTTGCTTCAAATTGTTATGTGCTATTTTCAGACCTATGCGACCATGCCCTGCACATATCTCATGATGAGCTATGAACTACTGGAATGGCCCTGATGGACAGGCTTGATGGATCACCCCCAGGAGGGGAAAAGGGTGGCAATGCCTTTTATATTATGTTTTTACTGAAATGAACTGGAAAAATATGAAACCAAAAGTACAAACTGTCTTGTCTTTTCATGCCTGAATTGACCTTTACATTAGTAGACTTGAAGAGAGGGAATTCCAGACAAGAGAGAAAGGGAGGAGAAGAAAGAACATTGGGGTTGATGTAGAATAAAAGTAGGATAAGCCTGAACCTTTAATTCTCCTATCTTCCTAGATTCTTACTCCATTCATAAACTAGATAAGTAGGAGCTCTGGTAGCATAGTGCCTAAGGCACTTGACTGCTAACCAGAAGGCTGGCGGTTCAAACCCACCAGCTACTCCTCGGAAGGAAGATGGGGCAATCTACTTCCGTTGTGATATGCCTTGGCAACCCCAGGAGGGATCGTTATGAGTCGAGTCTGACTCGACGGCACATAACAACAACAACTACTTAATAAATAATGTATTTGGTATCTAATTGTGCAGAGAACAGGAATGTCGTGAATAAGCAAAGGAACATAAGTATGTATGGTAATACAGGATTCTAGAAATTTCCTATAGTCATGCTGATGAAACATCAGATGGGGCTTGATCTTGAAGGAAATAATGGACATGCATATTCTTCCCTTCCTGCTCTTCCAGATACAGGGAACAGCAAGAGCAGAGACAGGAAGGGGAAAAGGATGTGACCAACTTAGTTGGAAAGTAAGGGCTTTATCGAATAGGGAGAGATGAGGTAAGGAATGTCATTTAATGAAAGACCTTGATTGCTGGCCTAAGCTTTTCAATGTGATGCCAGCAATAACAATGAAGTCTGTTTTTCTCATCTCTATCAGTAGCTCACTGTCTTTCTGAACTTTAAATCTGTCCCCACTTTCTCTATATAGAGAACCTGTACTGGGACATAGAAATAAAAACCTAAAGGATATCTTCTTTTGGGAGCTTCTTAAAACACCTTGGTGCTGAGGTGACTGTCTCAGAGTTTGGAATGGAATCTCTCTGTCCCATGAATGCCTCTGGGAGAGAACACTTGAATAAACATTTCAAAGACTTGGCAGTACTGAATTTTAAAATCTAAAGGGAACTTGAAGAAGGTCATCTAGTTCACTTCTGCCCATTTTACAGATGAAGAAACAGGCTCAGAGAAGCCACAGATTCTAAAGATCTATATTTAATGGCAAAACTGGATTTATAAGCTAACATTCCCAAGTGCCAATCTTAATTTATTATAACTGGCTTTTTATTTTCTCTCCGTAATCCCTTGCACTAATCCTGACACACAGAATAAATGTATTCAACAAAGCTTTTTGTATCCCTAAGACATCCAGCTCATTTCCTAGCTCAGAGCAAGCACACTGAAGCTAGATGACAGCTGAGGTCAGGGCCCAGTGGATCTTCTCACATTAACCATAAGGAAAGCACTATCATCTAAAATCAATTTTCCAGACCAGCTATTACTAGCTTTTTTCCTTTTGAGATACCCTTGAGTAATCTTCACATGCTTCATACCCCTTTGAGTGTACCCAGGGATCTGTCTGTTGCCAGCTTGGCATCTAAACACTCCTTTCTCCTATCAAAATCTTACAAAAAATGCAAATGTACTCTTAAAGGGAATGTGAAACTGTCTAATTTATTAAAATGCTAGTTATTTACAAATCTGAATAAAATAAATGTTCATCAGTAACAAATTACTTGTGCTGAACCTTACCAGTTTGTCAGGGTATAGCTGTTAAGAACTCTCCAGCCTGAGAGTCTTTGTCTTTGGTATACAGTGGTGTGTCTTAAAACAGGGTAGAAATTATCCTCCAGGACCTGAGCCTCAAAAGGTTAGGAGGATGCAGTTCTTAATTCATAACATAGGTTACCATAAGGAGTCCTCCATGAATTATCTCAACCCTTCTAGAAGCTCACTATAACATAAATCTAGTTCAGTGTTCAGTAGAGCATATACTCTTAACCTTGCAAATTTGATGATACCTTAAATTCTAGATGTCTTCTAAATCAAGTTTATTGGTAAAATGTTAGACCTTGGAATAAACATTGCCAAGGACAGTGTTAAATGAGGTCCAGGTGTAACTAGGAAAATGTGTTACATGTCTGTCTATCCAAAAACTAAACTCATTGCCATTGAGTTGATTCTGACTCATAGTGATCTAAGGCTGTAAATCTTTACAGGAGCAGACTGCCTCATCTTTCTTCTGTGGAGCAGTGGGTAGGTTAGAACCTTTTTGATTAGCAGCCATTTGCCTTAACCACTATACCACCAGAGTCCCTTACATGTCAATCTAGTCCTTTAAAAATAAATTTTAGGGAATTTTTTGCTATTTAAAAAAGATTCACAGCAGGAGCAAAATTCCTTTCAATATAAGACAGAGAAGAATAGCAAGGTAACTAATAAATATTGAATACACATATAATGAGCACATACATATTCTTATTTAATCTTTACAATTTTAATAAATAGATGGTTCCTATTTTAGGGCTCTAGGTGGTGAAAATAGTTATACACTTGGCTACTAGCCAAGAGATTGGCAGTTCAAACTCACCCAGAGGCACCTCAGAAGACAGGCCTGGCTATCTGCTTTCTTAAGATCACAGCCTTAGAAACTATGGAGTGGTTCTATTCTGCACACATTGGGTTGCCAAGAGTCAGAATCAATTCTATGGGAACTAACACAAATAACAACATTTCCTGTTTTACAGGTGAAGAAACTTAACTCAGGTTAAATTTCTTGCTGGTCAGCAGGAAGCTAAGACTTCAAACGCAGTGATCATCTTATTCCTAAGCTAGTGGTCTTTAGGCTATACCTCACTTCATGTAGTGGAGTCTCCTGTAGTCTCCAGTGGCTGTGTAAAGTAGCACTTTTCTTTGAAAACTACCTCCAAGTCTGAAGGCATGCTCTCTAATTCTGGTATGCTGTAGTGAAAAATGACATCCTCTTTAACTGTGTTTCCGGACTGCTTATTCCTTTTAAGAAGCTCATTCTACCCCTCTGGTCATTTTAGGTGCTAATCATGAAAAAGGTCTTCCCTTCGTGTGTTCTAGGGGTTATCATTCACGTATTTCAGGATGGATGTACAAAGGTTTTACAGATGAGTAAGATTATAGTCTTGGAAGAAGTACAAGAATGCTCCTTAGAAGGGAGGATGGCAAGACTTCATGTTACATACTTCAGATATGTTGTAAAGAGGGACCTGGAGAAGGACATCATGCTTGGTAGAGGGTCCATAAAACGAGGAAGACCTTCAACAAGATGGATTGAACACAGCAGCTGCAACAATGGGCTCAAACATAGCAAGGATTGTGAGGATGGTATAGGACTGGGCAGTGCTTCATTCTGTTTTACGCAGGGTTGCTGTGCGCTGGAACTGACTCATTGGCACCTACCAACAAGAAGACTAGTTCCTTATCTTCTTAAATACGACAATATTAAGCTGTTGTCTACAGGAGACAATGACTCCAAAATCCTCTTCCTGAGTTGCAGCTGATAAGTCACAGTCTATTACCTTATTTAAAAAATACAGCTTAATAGTTAAGATATACGCTGTGGAGTGAGACAGACCTCAGTCTGAATTCCAGTAATGCCCAATCATGAGCTGGGTGGTATATTTTATCTAAACCTTGGTTTCCCCTTTTTAAAGTAAAGACATTATTACCACCTACATCCCTTAGAACTGTTGTGAGGATTAACAACAATAATGCGCATACCACATTTAGGTAGTATCTGGAAATAGTACTAAATTTTTGCATTGAATACAGGTGGTTGGGTTACTTGTGTGGACAGTTTTACGTTTAGCTTCATTCACCTACTTCTCCTTGGCCACAAGAGGGCACCATTGCCCCTTTCCATTTTAAAGAGGTCCTCCCAAGGTCAAAATGACCTCAATACTTCCTTATATCTCTTGCCTGTTCCAGTGCCTAGGCACTTAGTTGTATTTGGACCTAGAAATCATGTGGCTGCTTTATTCATGTCAATCTTTCTCCCTTCATTTTCTCCCCACTTTGCAGGTCCCATCCATATTCAGAAAAAGATTGTAAGCCAGGTCCAGGGAGCTCTCATTTAGCCCCTTTGGTCCCTGGGCTTCTCCACTGGCCTTAAAGCAGTAAATATCAGGATTGGAGAACTTCAAAAAAGTCTATAATAAAGTCTTTATGACGCTAGGCTCTAGAGCCCTGTATCAAGAGCTTAGAGCTTTGCTGTTCCCCACCCTTCCTCCAATGATTTAGAGCTCCAAAATAGGTTATTCTTATAGGCTACTCAGTAATTGTCCCTTTGGTAGCTTTACCTTGATGAGTCCTCCAGTCCTTTGGCGCACTGGAGTTCAGTCCTCTGGTCACCTGGCTAGTCTCTGTGGATAATTAGCCAGAGGGAAGGAGCTAGGTCAGACTATTCTAGGGTTATGAGGAAATCCTCTGTGAGATGCTAAATTGAGAGCAAATATTGATCAATGGACCTTTGAAGTCACCGAGGAGGTAGCTGAGGTCAGTGCTTCCTTCATTTGAACATTGCTTGGCTTCTCTATAAAGTTATTTTCTAATACCCATCCATCTGATTCCCAAGCCAGAGAAGCATTGGTTGGTAGGTGTGAGACTGGGTATGAAGAAACTTGGGAAAATAAAATGGAAATGTTTTTTTTTTTCTCTCCCAAGTCCAAGCTATAAACTAGTTTGGTAGAAGTATAGTTAAGATGTGCCTTAGAAGTGAAGATAGTGATACTTTGTCTAATTTACTTTGTACATGTTATCAAAAGGGACCAGTCCCTGGAAAATAATGTCAGGCTTGGTAAAGTAGAAGGTCAGTGAAAAAGAGGAAGACCTTCAGTGAGATGGTTTGACAATAGTGGTTGCAACAGTGGGTTCAAGCATAGCAACGATTGTGAGGATGGTACCAAAACCAAACCAAACCCACTGCCATCGAGTCAGCCCCGACTCATAGTGACCCCTCCTTGGGTTTCCCAGGCAATATCACTACAGAAGTAGATTGCTCAACCTTCCCTCTGAGGACTGGCTGGTGGGTTTGAACCGCCAGCCTTCTGGTTAGCAGTCAAATGCATAGGCACTATGCCTCCAGAGCTCCCTGAAGATGGTACAGGACTGTGCAGTGTTTTGTTCTGCTGTGCATAGAGTTGCTATGAGTCAGAATCAACAGCACCAGCAACACCAACTAGGTCTATCAAAACCTGACTTAGATGGTCATCTGAACTGTGACATCTGAACATACATACATTGTTATCATAATGAGGTAAAGGTCTGTTCACTTGAGTCTCTTGAGATAAGGTACTTTGGTCGTATAAATTCCCCTTTGCCCTTGGATCAGTGACAATGACGGGTTTAGTAAGGTGGAAAGGTCCTAAGGTCTTGTCCATTCAGAGGAGTTAGTGAGAGTGTGGTGTGGAAAATCACTTTAATGCCATAGGTCATTTAATGGTCTCCACAGAGCACAGGAAAATAGAGTACATAACATAACCAAGTAGAAGGGCCCAAACGCCCCATGGAAGTGATGTGACAAAGAGAGGGTGCTTAATGCCTGATCTTGGATGGGGGTTGATCTGCAGCTCCTGATACTGTGTCTAGATGTGGCTTTATGGGGTGTTTGACTCCAGTGGCAGTGAGCCTAACGCTCAGGACCCAGAGGCTCTGGCCTGTAGAACCAACAGCCCACAAAGAGTACTGGATAGTCAAGCTCCTGCCTTTGCTCCTATTTTCCACACACTGGGGTCTGTTCGTATCTATAATACCATGGCCTCTGCTGACCTCAAATGGGCTCTATACTAAGCGGCTCTGATAATCACTGCCTATGTCCGCATAATGTTACCTCCATAGGCATGAAGTCATCAACCAAAGACATTCTTCAGGAAAGCATACTGAGACAGTAGGAGGAACAGCACTAATATATTAAGAGACTGACTCCCGAGAACCTTCAATGATCGAAGTCCTTGGCCTTTTGCTCTAATACTTACTTTAGAATTAACCGCAAACGTGTTAAGGGTAAGGGAAAAAGCCAAAGAAGGAAGTTAACTGAGTTCTCAGGCACATACTTGGCCACCTACACGATCCTCCGCCTCCACCCTTACCCTTAATTAGCCGAATCAGGGGAGGTAGGGTCCAATCCTCCTCGTCACAATCGCTGACAACAGCTCAGGCCCCGCCCCTCCTCCACACTGGGCCAATGGCCTTACTCCAGACCAATCCCCTGCGAGGGACGGAATGCGGCTCGGTGCAGTAGGCGGGGCCTCGCTGAGGACCCCGGGCTGGGAGCCGTTACCGGTTCGTCTACCCTCTCCCTCAGCCGCCTCCTTTCAACCTTGTCCACCGGTCGGCGCGGCCTCTGGTGCAGCGGCGGCAGCTCCCATTCTTGCCGCAGCACTCTCCCCTCCCTCCCTACCCACTAGATCCCCGAGTGCGCCTGCCATGGCTTTACTCACTGCGGCCGCCCGGCTCTTCGGAGCCAAGGTGAGCGACTAAGGGAAGGAATGCGCAGTCCCAGGGTGGGGCTGAAGCGACCGCCAGGCCCTCGCACGCCGGGGTCTCCCTCCCCCATTTCTACGCACCCCTACGCGCCTTAAAGGGGCCTAGCCCTTGGCTGGAAGCCAACCTTCTCGTGGCGCTCCATGTGCTACGCTGTCCTTGTAACTACTGGGTGTGCAGTTGGGTTCCCACTTATGGCATGCGGTCCCAGGCAGGTGGGGAAGCCGGACCCTCCTGTCACCCTGCGTGTCTAGGATGGAAGAGGGCAATGCATGACCTAGGAGAAAGGAGGAGTTCAAAATTGGAGTACCCAGTAAAGAGACGGTGTGTTTCACTGGAGTTTAAGAGCCTGGTTGGAGAATGGGCGGGGTAAGAGAGGTGGCAGGGGAGAACAGATGTATTCACTTTGTTTTTGGGGTAGAGTTGAAGCGGTGGCTAATTTCGGCTTTTGCTTTGTTGGGAGGGCCTTGTCCGTTCTGAACTGTTTCTTGTCCTCCAACCTCATTATTTAAACCTGTAGTTACTAGGCCATAGTAGTTCTTGCTAGAGCGGTGACATTCTCAGGTCCTCTTTGTCCTTGAGACTCTTGGACTTTTTATATTAGGAGCAGCTTGGGTAGGGTGGAATGTTGTAAAAGCTCCTCCATGATTGTCACAGATAAGTGGAGAAGGAATCAGAAAGGGTGTTCTTCCCAATCTGAAGGCCAGTAAGTGAAGATACCTAGTAGGAGGAGATCCTATAACCAAAGTTACATGACCAACCCTACTATTTACTCAGGTTTGGTGCTGATACCAAGTCTGATCTACCTAGGAGAACTTCCTCTCATTCTTTGGGACCCTTTAATTGACATTTGTTGCCTTTTGAATTATAAGAATACTGTTCCACATACCTGTTACCAGTTTTCACATTGGCCAGTACTGTTGACTCTGAGTAACTTGGCCCCTTAAACAGAGAAACTGCTGTGCTGAGGGAGTACCAGCCCTCAAATGCAAGCAGAGATGACCTTGACTTCTACAAAGAGTTTATGCTTTGTTTCCTGCAGACAAATTAAAGCTGTCAGCACCTGAAGCAAAGGAAAGTTAAATGTTTTTGGCTTGATCTTGAATGGTTGGCTGAGATAAAGTGAAACCTGTAGGATTTACCTTGGGGTTCTTCCAGGCACCCAGAAGCAAAGTAGAGAGAGGCTGGTCATTTGGGAGATATTTGTCTTACTTGGCTGTTGCTTCTCTGGCTGCCTGGGAAAGGAAACCTCTTGGGGAATGAAGCAAGTTCTAGGTAGTGTTTTGGCAGAACAGGGGACACTATAATTAGCTCATTCCAGAACTGCTAACCCAGACTAGATAGTCTAACCCTACAGTGAATTTTAAAAAGCCCTTAGAATTTACCTTTTGAATTCATTTTGTTTCTTAAGCCTCTAGGGAAACTGAGAAAGCATTTGGGATGACTGGGATACAGAATCTTGTTATCCTTATTGTTTACCTTCCAGTTAGAAAAGGATCTTTGACTCCCAGAAACCTATAAATTGGAAACAGGGGCAGATTATCCAGTAAGCAAGGTAAGCACAGGCTTACTTGTGCTTCCTTACTAATCTGTAGTGAACAGTTTCACATATGAGCCTGTGTTTACCTTACGGGGTACTCCGTCCCTGTCAGGGATTGTAAATTTGAAAAGAGGCTTTGATTCTGTAGGAAAATACTGTGGAGTTGGGAGAGAGACAGATGCCAGCCATACCTAGAATACCTTTGATGTGGTGAAATATGTGAAATTGTTCACTACAGATTAGTAACCACAAGTAAGTCTGTGCTTATCTTGCTTATTGGGTAATGCAAAACTGATTGGAAGCCATTAGAAGCCGTTTGGCCCTTAAAACTAGCAACAGACTCAGGAGTGGAAATTTCCTGAGAACTGAGCGATATGGCCAGGATACCAAGAAGCCTTTCAGCTTATTAGCATTGCTAGCACCCACCTGAGCTTCCCAGATTAGCCTGCTGCTTAACTGTTAGTCGATTTTACTTTTGCTATTAAGGCAAAATAGGTATCTGATCTGGAAGAACTGACCCCCCTACCACTTCTCAAGGGACAGGCGTGGTTTCACTTTTCTGGGAGGAGTGTTTTCTAAACCTTTCTGGGAAACAGAAATGCTAATCATTGTTCTATTATTTAAACTCACTGGCAAGTGATTTAAATGAACATCTGAGTTGGAGAACTAAACTAAATCAGAGCCTTGAGATTATTTCACATTTTGTTCATTTAAATGGGTAAATACTAAGCAATGGCCTTAATATTGACTGTAATGTTAATAATACATTACTAACAGTTTTATGAAAAGAACTCTGGTGGTGTAGTGGCTAAGCCATTTGGTAGTTAACCAAAAGATTGGTGATTTGACCCTACCAACCACTCGGGAAGAAAGATGAGGCAGCCTGCTTCTGTAAAGATTTATAGCCTTGGAAACACAGTGGGGTTTCTATGGGTTGAAATTGACTCATTAGCAATTAGTTTCCTGTTTTTGCGTTAGTTTTGCGATGTAAGAACTGTCTTTTCAGCAGTTTACTCCTGAAATCAATATGATTTAGCCAACCTTAGCTACAACGAGTTATTTCTTGTACTGTGGAGATCCCCCCTCCCAAGTTAGGATATTTTATAAACTTTGAGTAAATCAATCCAGAGGTATTTCTAGACTTTTTCATGACAAGACACTTAAATTAATACCACAGGTTCTTTTGCTGGAGACCCACCCCACTGCACACACCACCTGTATATATACATCCTAGTTCAAACCCACCAGCCACTCCTCGGAAGGAAGGTTGGGCAATCCTACTTCCGTAGTGATACTGCCTCGGAAACCCAAGGAGGGGTCGCTATGAGTCGGGGCGACTCGACGGCAAATAACAACAACAGTTAGAAATTAGGAGCTCTGGTAGCATAGTGGCTAAGACACTTGCCTGCTAACCAGACGGCTGGCGGTTCAAACCCACCAGCCACTCCTCGGAAGGAAGGTTGGGCAATCCTACTTACGTAGTGATACTGCCTCAGAAACCCAAGTAGGGGTCGCTATGAGTCGGGGCTGACTTGACGGCACATAGCAACAACAACAAAAGTTAGAAATTGGGTTCAACAAAATCAAGTCAATTTTGTCCTGTGAAGTGTTAGGCTGAAAGCTCAAAGCTTTTTCTTCCCCCTCAGACACTTTATTCTCAGAAGGAAGGTAGGGCAATCTACTTCCATAGTGATGTCGCCTCAAAAACCCAAGGAGGGGTCGCTATGAGTCGGGCCAACTCGACAGCACATAACAACAACATTTTATTGTGGTTTGAGTGAAACTTTACAGAGCAAATTAGTTTCCCATCCAACAATTTATATGCATTTTGTTTTGTGACATTAGTTGCAATCCCTTCAATGTATTAACACTCTTCCCACTTCCTCCCTGGGTTCCCTGTTTGCATTTGCCCACCTTTTTTTAAGAAAAATTTTTACTGTGATTTGTATGAAAGTTTACAGAGCAAATTCGTTTTCCATACAGCAGTTCACATACACTTTGTCTCATGATATTGACTGCAGTTTCCCACAGTGCAACAGCTCTCTTCCCACTTCCTCTCCATAGTTACCTTTTCCTGTGTGTTTCCCTCCCACGCACTTCTGCCCTCCCCTCCCCCAGCAGGCTCCCTGTACATACACAGCCCTTCTATCCTCCCAGAATTGATCTTTCCAAGAGTGTATCTACCTAATATAAATGTTCAGCTCATATCCCTGTCTTTTGTTTGGCTGGAAGCCACAGGAGTGGGTTCAGTTCCAGACCTGAAGGGCAGCTAGGGGCCATAGTCTCAGGGTTTTCACTAGGCTCTATCAGACCAGCAAACTTGGTCCCTTTTTTCTTTTTTTAAATGATTTTGAGTTTTGTTCCACGGTATTCTCCCACTCTATCCAGGATTTCCTACAGAGATCCCCCCTCCAAGTGGTTGACATTGGTAGCCAGGCACCATCTAGTTCTTCTGGTCTCACAGTCATATAGCATTTGCCCACCTTTTCTGATGCTTCTTACCTTCTCAATTTTGTATTTGGGCACATCCTGCCCTTTTGGTCTCCTGTGATTGATTGTTCCCAGCAGCATGTTCCTAACGAGTATTATTGTTCACTTTGTAGTTCTGTCTATTGTTTGAATGAAAGGTGATCTCCAGGATTGGGTTCAGTTTGAGGCTTGAAGGGTATCTAAGGGCCATAGTCTGGGAGGGAGGGGGATGTTTCACCAATCTCTGTCAGACCAGTAAGTCTGGTCTTTTTTTTATGATTTTCAATTTTTTTCTACGTTTGTCTTCCACTCTGTCCAGGACCTTCTATTGTGAATCCCGATCAGAGTAGTTGGTAGTGGTATCTGGGCATCATCTAGTACTGATTTCAGGTTAGTGGAAACTGTGGTTCATGTGGTCCATTAGTCCTTTGGACTAATTATTTCCTTGAGTCTTTGATTTCTTCACTCTTTTTCTGCTTGGATGGGAAGAGACCTATAGTTGTATCTTAGATGGCCACTCACAAGTCAAAGCCCCAAACTTTTTTTTTTTATTATTGTCATTTGGGTGAAAATTTACAGAGCAAATACACTTTCCATACAGAAGTTCACATACACTTTGTCTCATGACGTTGACCACAATTTACCACAATGCAACAGCTCCCCTCCCACTTCCTCCCATAGTTACCTCTTCCCTGTGTCCATCCCTCCTTGCACTCCTGTCCCCTGAGCTGTCTCCCTGTGCATAAGCAGCCCTACTTTCTCCCATAATTGTTCTCTCTAAAGAGTGTATCTGCCTCAGGTAAATGTTTAACTCATATGCCTGTCTTTTGTTTGGCTGGAAGCCACAGGTGTGCAAAGCCCCAAACTTTTAAAGGCAGGGGATCAATTCATCTTTGAATTGCCCTCCCTTTGGTTATCAGTCTGTTCAAAGTAATGGGAATTCCTTGATGGACCAAAGATGAAAAATGGCTAGTAA